GTCCGAGGAAACGCGAGCGGCGCCGGTTAAGTTTTCGTATTACCATTTGGATTAAACACTGTCATTGCACATGTAGCCTGAGCACGGTTTTGCAGCCATTGGCGTACTGAACAGATCTAGACACTTGTTGCGAATTTCGTCGGTAAAATATAAATCTTTTTTGATTAGGCGTCGTTGCGTAAGCTCCCTGATAAGAGAATGAAACGAAAGTACCATCGGAAAATGGAAACCCTGTAAATATATCAACAAAAAGTCATTCTCCTTGACCATTCTTTGTTTCTTTTCTTAGATAGTATGATGATGAACATGTGATGGTAATCCAGTCTCCAGGTCAAAAAGCAGCCGAGAAGACCAATCGAGGGACTGGAGCAGAGTTTTAATTGGTCAGTTGGCTACCAAATATCAATCTCGCGCAGAAAAATCCATTGACGTTGATCCCGTTCTACTAAGATTTTTAAACAAGTGACCTTCCTGGACTTATCTAGAGATGCTTTCGCTTGTCCCCGGTTGAAAAATCCAATAATCTCGAACTTTCCGCAGGAATCTTTGCCACTCGTCTGTGTTTCATTGTCTTCAGCTGACCGGAAGCTAGCTTGCAAAACACCAAAATGTAACAAATGTTGAGGGGCCCTGTAAGATCCTGTATCCACGAACACTTTCTGAACAGCCGTCGCCGCGTTAAATTTTATCAAGACGTAATCATTTTTCTGGGAATACCTGCTCCAAAAATAACCACTGCCCTTGTCATAAGCATCCTGCGGGGCACCTTGATAAGAAGCCAGTGATGAGGTTACAGTGGCAGGTGGGTTCAGGCCTTTGTACTTCTGATCGTACTGATCAAAAAATGGTTCCAAATCATTTGAATTATGCAACCCTTTTTCTGCGAGCGAAGACTGAACACCAATGTGTTCGAACAACGACGCCAAAAAGGGTTCTTTATTATAGCGATACACTACATTTGGAAACTTGATTTTTGTCCACTGGTTCATCAGCCAATCAATGGGCATTTCGTCATACATTAGGTAAAAATATGAAGCGATATTTTCGAGGTCTTGTGAATAATAAACCTTCGCCACGCTTCCTCTAACGGCAACATTGAGGCTCGGCCAGTCAGTGTCAGTTTGTGATGTTATAAAATCCCTCAGCTTGGAAACGAAGCTGGGGGAAGATTTCACGTCATCTTCGAGATGAATGTAATAATGGCTGAAGTTCTTACAGTAACACATCAAGAAAGAGTTGTCAAGGTTTTCCTTGGAACGCCAAGCTCTTCTTTGAACAGAATCGCCATATTTCTCTTTGATATTATTAAGATCTGGATAATATTCTGGATATGCTTCAATCACCGTCAGAAACCCTTGTTCAATATATTTGTCAAAAGTTTTGAACAGTTCCCTCCTCATGGTGGATTTTGTTGGCTCCTGGAGATCAGCAAGAAGTATCACAACATAGACGTCTTTCTTTTCCAGGTCGCTGGTGTGATTGATCAAACTTTGAGTGGTTTGTAGCAGATAGTTTGCCCCATTAGGCCTGACAACTGACGCTATTCCAATTGTAAGAAGACCTTATAAATATAAAAAGAATTCCATAAATAAAAACGTTATTCGCGATCGATCACGCGGGTGTTGACAATTCTTTGCTGCAATTGCATTAGCAGTTGCTTATTGCCGTGTTTCTATCACGGGACGGGTCGACCTCCAAGCCACCCCTACGCTACCCCCAACCCCCCTTCCCATCATGAGTGTGAGCCTAGAAAACGGAGAAGCAGTATTGACGCCCAAATTGAATTGGATGTAAACACAGTTAAAAATATTCAGTGTTCAGGGGCTGTGTACAATGATCTATTCACTCACAGGCAAGAATTGATGTTCTCTTCCTTGCAAGTTCTCATTCATTATAAAGTCAACTGAGCACTCGGGCCAAACTATAGCTAGTTCTCACCGCCAGAAGTTTACCTGGTTTCTGTAACATGAAGCTATTATGGATAATGCCGCCATCACAGGATAGGATGACTGTCTATGGTAGATTGTCCCGCCCTACATTTTGTGGTATTAAAAGTACCCTTACGTGCATTTCGCAATTCAAACCTAGATGGAGAAAGTCTTGTTACAAGTCTTGTCCTTTATCACAGCCCAGTAGCCCTCCCATGCAAGTGCTTGCTTTTTTGTTCATGCTCAGTGCTTAGTATATTTACTAAATGGACAATTGTGTCTCATTGAGGTCTAGCAAAACTGCAAATGGACGCACGAGGAGGGGGATATCAGGGGGTTCTAAACACCGCAACAACGCAAAAACAACAACAACAACAACGAACACCGCATCACCGCAAGAAAAGTCAACGAAACACCGTCACCGCAACACGTATTTTTAGCGCCGT